AAATGGGGTGCTTTTTTTTGAAAAATTGTTTTTGCAAATATCTCAAAAAAAAAAAATCAGTTCTAACCCGTGTTTTCATAGAACAGCCCCCATTTCAATAAAGTTACACGAAGATTATATTTGGTCAATCAAGTCGGCGAAAAAAACTGAATATTATTCGTTGGGTATAACCTCTACTTGTATCATAATATAACTGCAGAATTTTCCCTACTGCTGTTCATAAAAGATCGTCAATTAAACTACATGAATGCATAATAAAGTTGGCGAATGGATATATTTAATCTGCCATTTGACTTCAAGAGTTCAAATAATTACAGAGTTAATTTTGGCAACTGTTAAAGTTATTTATACCAACTATGAAAAATTAATTATAGCATTACAGATATAGCAAACAAATATAAACATAATCTCAAAAATGCGTCATTTTATACAAATTTTTTCCCTTGGCTTACTATCAAACAAATCTCGTTCAAAGATTTATTAGGGAAAGACAGATTATAATCTCAACAGATTTTTTGTTTTATTGGTTTATATTATTAATCATTCACAATCTTTTCAAGATTACAATTTTAACAAGTATTTATTTAAAAATAAAAATTTAAATTACAGCAACAAAAACCGTATTTTTTAAAAAAAGTTTACAAATAAATGTTTTTGATTGATAATTAATATAAAAAAAATCTTTGCAATTTAAAAAATCAAATATTATCTTCACCACTGCCATTATCAATGACTTTTCGATTTTCTTCGGTCAACTATGTCAACCAACATTTCCGATCTTCTCTTTGATTCGTCTGAGAGTATTGATACTGAAGTTAAGGTTGATGCTGGTTTTTTTTTGCGCATTTGTTGATCGAATTTTCTCCTTCTGGGGTCCTCTCCACAAACAATTCTCCTGCGACTGAGAATATTGCTGATAATTTGGTTGCTTCTGCCATTGCAATGCGTCTACTATTTGATGTTGTATACATACATGGGCCATCAGTTTAAAATTTTTTCTATATTCTACAACATCATCCTTTTCATCAAAATAAAATCAGTGCCAAAACTTCCATCCTAATTTTTGAGCAGTTGATTCGGATTTTTTTTTATTTTCCACTCCTATATTAGGCAATTAACATGTTCACATAAATTTTTAGGTGTTATATCAAATTCGTTGGATCGCATATAACTTCCTATTCCATAGGCTTTGTATCTTGTGATGTTTTCCTCTTTTTGAAGTA